TATATATATTAATTTCTATTACACAATATAATCACTCAAATATTACTAAATATTTGTCTGTCCACATAAAGTTGCACCTGTACTATCAGACACTGCTATTTTCTGCTTATTTGTTGAGGATGATCTCTTCCTTTTCTTCTCATAACTAATCCCTCTAGATTTTGACTGAAAATCCCTAACTTCTCTTAAAAATAGCCTCACAGCTCGAGCTCCAAATGGGTTCATTTCTGGTTTTCCACCATTTTCTTCATATGCAGCTCGAAGTCTACCAATTAATGCATCAAGACTTCCCCAAGCTTGCCTTAAAGGACAAGGGCAAGGTGCTGGAGGATTTTTTAGCCCAAAAAATGGACAATTTTGGTTGTGGACTTTCGTCTTTCCGAACTGGTCTAAATACCTGTTGAAAACATAAGTAAGTAAATAAAAATGTAACGGTTGTAAGGATGCATTGGTATGACGGAAAACGATTTTTAAGAAAATAACTTATTTTTTAGTGTTTTAATTGCCAAAAAACGAAACCTACATTTTCCTTCACAATTAACTTTACATCAATGCTTTATCTGTTTTTACGGCTTGAACCATGATCTCTTGGTCACATGGCAGCAACTTTACCAGGTATTGTCAATCTTGAATTAATATTTATTTTTTGAAAAATGCTTTTCACTCACTCTTCAATCAAACAAAGAAAAAATTTATTTTCGAAAAATAGGTCATTCTTCGGAAATATTTTTCAGACCGTACCAAACGCACTCCAAAAACTTAAAACTTTCAGATGAAATGATCATACGAGTCAACGTACGTACCTGAGGAATTCCAGGACATGTGCACCACTGCATTGAGGAAGTGAAAGTGGAGGATGGTGATTTCTCATCAAGTACTGGCAAAAAGTGTTCCAATCTCGACGTTTCTGGTTCTCATACCGGCTCAATGGAGGAGCTGAGGACGGAATGATGGTAGTACTGTTGGGAAGAAAGTTTGTACCTTGAACCATATTGTTACCTGAAGTAAGATTTCCTTGTGCTGTGACAAATTCCATTACAAAAATAACCCTTTTTTCAGCTACAACTTATGTTCTTTTTTCACTTTTAGGGTTTATTAGATCTTGAAGAAAAATGGGGTGTGAAGAAAAGTCAACAAAGTTAGAACAAAACCCCCCTATTTTAAGGTGAACTGAAAAGAATGATATACTTGAAATAAGGAGAAACAGGTTGTGAACTTTTATGACTTTATAGGTACAAGTCAAGGGAGAGTATTTACTTCAGATATAGTTATATGGTTAGTAAGAGGAAATGGACAAGGACAATGTAGGAATTAATTGTGTGTAATAAGTGCTTGATCTCTAGTTTCTTGGCCTGTAAAAGTGAAAAAATCGAGCTGAGTTGAGCCGACTGAATACTATCTACGAATCAAGATAGAATATTTGCTCGAACTAGAAATCTTGAAAGAGGTTGAGTGTGTTGTTGAGATTTTCTTTCCAAGAAAAGGGACAAGAAGAAGAAGAAGGAGGGACTAAATCCATTTGTGTGAAATAGACAGATATAGAAAGGTGAAAAATATAGAAGGAAGGAGTAATGATTGAGGATAGTGGCTTTTGGGGAAAGAGGGTATTTTGCGAGAAAGGGAAAGGTTTTTGGCATTAATTTGAAGTGATTGGAGAGTAGCGGTATTCTGGCCAAGTATATGTACGACGACATCAGTTACTGCTACTAGCTATTCCCTCCGGTCCATAATAAGTGATTTTTTGGCTTTTTTTTGTGGTCCAAAATAAGTGATTTTTCCATATTTCAAGAATGAATTAATTATTTTTTTCCTACATTGCTCTTGGAGTAAATAATATTGTTGGAGTATGTGTTAGGAGTGTTTATGTGAAAAGATAGTAAAGCTTAATATAGTCAATTTCATTGCTAATTAATGTTAAAAGGTGAGTTTCTTAATATGTGTGAAAACAACCACAAAATCACTTATTTTGGACCGGAGGGAGTACTATACTAGCAGTCAACTACTCCCTATGTTCCAGTTTATGTGAACCTATTTTCTTTTTAGTCCGTTCCAAAAAGAATGGCCCCTTTCTAATTTTGGTAACAATTTAGCTTAAACTTACAATTCTACCCTTAATGAGACGCTTTTATAACCACATAAATACTCAGGGCCCCTTTTTGACTTGTTTAAGACCACAAATTTCAAAAGTCATCATTTTTTCTTAAACTTCGTGCCCAGTAAAACAGATTCACATAAATTGGAACGGAAGGAGTAGTACTTCAATTTTTTATTTTTCACATGGTGTTGGATATTTGAGCTCGATTAAATTAGAATTTATAGCATGAAATATCATATTGGAGGATAAATGACTCCCGCTCGAACCCAAAACCTTTAATTAAAAATGAAGAATACTTACTCCTCCCCTGCAATCCTTATTAGTTTGCTACTAGCTACTCCCTCCGTTCCAATTTATGTGAACCTGTTAGATTGTGCACGGAGTTTAAGAAAAAATAAAGATTTTTGAAATTTTTGGTCGTAAACAAGTTAAAAAGGGGCCCAGAGTATTTGTGTGGTTATACAAGCTTCTCATTAAGGGTAGATATGTAAGTTTAAGCTAAATTGTTACCAAATTTAGAAAGGGGTCATTCTTTTTTGAATGGACCAAAAAGAAAATAGGTTCACATAAACTGGAACAGAGGGAGTAGTATACTAATGGGTTATTTGGTACGATTAATTTATACTTTATTTGTTTGGCAATATAAAATTATCGCATGATAATTTAATATCGTCAACCAGATAAAATATAAATTTAATTCTAGACTTAATCCCGGCCCGAATATCCCATCTTATCCCGACAAACTTGGGATTATTTTATCCTACCTCCCAGTTAGGATAAATTAGTCCAAAAATTATAATTTCAGAATATAATCCCGAATAATTTAGTCCGCATACCAAAAGATCCCTAAGAGTTAACTAGTTATTCCATAGTATACTGATATAGCGCATGCAAATGTTTTTTTTTTTTTTTTTTTGGTTTCCCACCCGGTGTCCGGTACCCGCATTATAGCCCGACTATATCCGGATTCGCGCGGCGTAGGGCCCCTTTCGGGGGGAAGCGCTCCCTACCAAGGATTTTTCCATACCCATGGCTCGAACTCGAGACCTCTGGTAAGAGAGGAGCAGTCCCATCCACCACATCCTTTGGTGGTGCGCATGCAAATGTTCGTATTGCACTAACAATTTTTTTGGTATTTAATTTTTTAATTAGTTAGGTACTCCATTTGATAAACTATATAGTATATAACGTGTTATAACAAATTAAATTATATTAATATTATAAAAAATCTATTATACTATCAACGTATAAATATCCTTTCCTTATGAGTTTAAGTTTTCAACGATCATGTCATTTAAAAAGTAATAACGTGGTAAATTTGTTTAATATCATTGATTGGCATATACAACATGTCAAGTTACATGGATGGTACAAACAATTTATTTTACTGCCAGTATATATAACTTAATTTTTTTTTCTTTAGTTCTTCTATAAAAATAAAAAAAAGAATAACACATTTCTATATTTGAAAAAAATTTAACTTTACACTTTTCTTTTACTTTTAGTGAGAGACTTTTATAATCACACAAATATCATGACCTGTTTAAGATCATAAATTCTAAAAATCTTTCTTTCTTTCTTAAACTATATGCCAAATCAAATATGATCACATAAATAAAAAGGAGTAAGTATTTGATTACAATTTTCTGATATTTTGATTAACTTTTCTTGCGTTAATTATATAATCCTGTTATAAAATTTGTTTGGCATGGTTTGACCGGATATAGAGTTAAATATGGATAAGATAACTAAATGACCACTTGCCCAAATATGGTTATTTTTGTTAAATGAACTTAGATCAAGTCATGTTAATGACAAGATTGTTTAACCAAAAATATATCTTTTTGTCAAAGATTAATTTTAGAAGAAAATGGGCTTCTGATAACTAAGTTTTGCCTCACTTTCTCAATAATATCAAAGGAAAATAACAAGAGTAAATAAGGAAATAATTGATTGCAAAAGTTAATATAGAGAATTTCGAGAAAAGCAGAAAAATAAAGTGAATATATTCCAATATTGTCTCAGATGTCCTTACAAGTGAAATTTTCTCCTCTTATATAGAGGTTTACACATATAACGTTTCCTTCCATTTATGGCTAAATTATGAGCTTTAATGGTATTAGTGATCCGTTATAATTGGTAATCGTAACTGTCCACGGGGATTCTGTAACGATTCTGATTTCCCTCCTCATTAATTGAAGGTTCCTGAATCTTCCCTTTTTATTGTCTTGATTCAGTCTTTGCCAGCTATTAGGCTCGGTACTATATCGTGGGTGTTTCCCTCCCGTGCCTTTTCTTATTCTATCAAATAAGACTGCCACGTGTGGCTATATTATTGCTCTTACGTGCTATGCCATGTCAGCAGTCTAATATTCCATGTGTAGCTCTTTTTTACCACCAATACAGATAGTCCCCCCACTTTCTTGAATATTCTCTACTGAATATTTTGGGAAGTGGAAAGTTTTTATGGTGGGAATTCTCGTCGTTTTCGAATATAATCATATCCTTTTCTGAACCGATGTGACATTTATCACTTTTATTAAATGATCATGCCACGTGGCTTTTAACAACTGGTCCTTCAGTTCTTCAGCGTCTTTTAGGGTTTTCCTGCAACCGCATCAGCCACGAAGTGACGGTTCCATTATGACGCTTCATAATGACCTCATTAGTCGTGTCTTCCTATAAATACTTAACCCCTTTTTTCCGTTTTTCCAAAACCTTTCCTTCTTCATCTTCTTGTCTTACTTCGTTCTACATCTTTTTCTTGTGCTTCTCTAGTTAATCATGGCTTCATCAAATCCTGATCCTCGTAAAGTAATAATTGTTGATGAACTTCCCCCTTCAACTGCCCCTGTTAGGAGTAGAAGAGGTGGTAGATTACGTAGCCTCAGTGCAATTTCTAACCGTGGTTCCTCCTCTCAAGGTAGTGCTACCAAACCATCTTCTTCTAGACCTAGGGCTTCTGCAACCACAAGATCTTCTTCTAAAGATAAAGATTTAACCGAAGCCCTTCGTGATCCCTCTGTTGATGAGATTGTACCTCAAGAGCTATCCTTTGTGACTGATAGTGAATCCATGAAGAGTCAAGTCTCTTCCACGGCTGCTTCCCTTGATCGTGCTGATCGTTAGCCAACTCTGATTACCACTAGTCTTCTTGATCTGGTTCGAAGTGAATGTAATTGGAAACCCGATTTCCCAATTTTAATTCCTGGTTCTAACTAAAGAATAACTTCATACCAAGCATGCTATTCCTTCATTTATACATATCCTTTTACCTTAGGCTTTAAACTTCCTATTGACCCGGTAATCATTGAGTTCTGTCGTTACTTCAATGTGTATTTGGGACAAATTGGTCCTATTATTTGGAGAGTTGTTGCATGCCTCCGTTATTTATCAAACTTGGCTTCTATGCCTTTTACTTTTCGTCACTTACTCCATCTCTACTCTACCAAACTATTTCGTGATGGAGTTTTTTCCCTTGTGGCCAAAAGTAAGAGAGTATTAGTTAGCCCTGAAGATGATAGAGATAGAGGCTGGTATGCTCGCTTCGTTGCTGCTCCCATTAGCGGTTTGGTGGGTGAAGAAAACACGCCTTTTCCAGAAAATTGGAATTTTGCACGTAAGTATTTGTTTCTCACCTTTATCCTTTCTCAAAAATTGATTTCATGTATTCTCGTGCCTACTTTTTCAGCAACTATGGATGTTTTTGAAGAGATCTCTCACTTCCGTGCTTGGGTAGGAAAGTTATTATCTGTTGCTCCTATGGAGAGAAGATCTTGAAATTATCTTTCTCAGAGATTTGGGTGGAAAGTTAAAACACACGGTACTTTTTTCCGTTTAGTCTTCCTCTTTTTCTCTTTTGCTTATTTAAGAGTTTTTCACAGTGACTCTTTCTCTTTTGTCAGGATTTGCCATTCGTGGTGTTAGTCCTGCTTCTGTTTCATCTGCGAGACTTACGGCGAGTCTTGCTCAAGAAAGGATTCTGAGCTCTTCTTCAAAGAGGAAGGTTGATGGAGCCCGTGGCTTAGAGGGAGAAGAAGAACCAGAGGAAGGTTCTTTAGTTCGTAGACCTCGTGTCAGGAGGTGCATTATTTCAGATGAAGAAGCCACACCTCCTCCAAGTTTAGTTCCTGTTAATGAGCCTGAAGATGCTACTTTTGTGAGTTCTGATAAAGAGATGAATGCTCCTCCTTGTGAATCTACTGATCCACTGTTTTCCTGTGGTTTTGATAGTGGTGATTTTGGTCCCGTTTCTGAAGAATTACCCCTTGCTTCTCTTCCAGTATCAGTCCCCGTTTGTTCTCAATCTACCGTTCCTGTTACTGCTGCTACTGCTCCCCCTGGCTGTTTTTACTTCCTCAACCATCCCTTTTGCTACAACTTCTCATGTTGAAGTTGGTACTTCTAGTAGCAATAGGGTGATGAAAAAGGTTACCATAGAAGTCCTTGAAGATAGTAATCTGTTGAAAAAATCTGGTCAAGCCGACGTCTGGTTAAAACCTTTAATTGGCCCAGTTGATAAGTCTATGCTGGAAAGCCACAACTCCTTGA